GGTAAACGCATTGCAGTCATACAATAAAACACCTTATGATTGATCACTAGCTCTATTAACCATTAAATACCGTTTTGACGAAATGTATTTTTACTTATTTTTATTGAGAGAGAGAGAGAGAGAGAGAGATTTACAATGATTATAAAACATTGTCAAGAATAACATTCTCTAAACTTTCTGCATACTGTTTGTGAGGCTGTAAATAGATTTAATAGAAAATATTCTGTCATACTCCCTGAATTTGGCCATTATGGTTGTATTGTCGGCTCGAGTAGATCCATATGATTAATGACCTGTTGTCAAAATTTGCTAATTGCCAGAGACGGCCGAGTTATGGCCAGTTTTGTTATGACAACACCCGTAGTGTTTCTTGAATTGAAAAGTGGTGTTTCACTCATTTTATTTCTCATAAGATTTACATTAATAGTCAACAAAATTCAATGCTATAGACACTATACAAATGACCACAAAACTGACCATAACTCCTATAATACCAGGATAATGGCTACATTTTGGGAGTTTTGCAGAAAATTCCCTTTTTAGTGGTAAAATGATACTTTTATTTCAAAAGTACCATATGATTTTTTACTGTCATTTAATTTAGTGTAGTGTTAAAACTCACTTATAGCATAAAGTTAAGCATTGTAATGTATATTTCAAAGTATCAAATCAAGTTAAAAACATTTATTTTGTGTGATTTGCTTGAGTATAAATAATTACATTATATACCAAAGATTAAATTTTATTATCTTAAATACTCTATATAGATTTTACATTATATTTAATGTACTTTATATATTATTTTACTACAAAATTGTATTAATTATTTTTCCTAGTTTTAAAATTGAATATAAAGTTCACATTTAAATCTAAAATATTTTAAATTTCAATATAAATTGTTAAGAATCTGCGACAGAGGGGGACGAAGTGATGTACGACCGACTCATTTCCAGATTCCTAAACTTAGGGAACGGCAGGGGATACCCGACAACGGATGAGGGCGCCAAAGAATATTGTGCTAACCAGACGAATCATTTGTAAGTGATTAATACCTGCATATATTTATAATAATAATATTGTATAAATTAATACTAATAACATATAAACAAAATGCCTACAAAACGATCATAATATAAGATCGGAGGATGAAGGTAAAGCTGCCTATAAATATTACGACTCGTTAGGCCCGAGGTTTGCCCATATGTTTAGCACACTGAAAAGACCCGATGCTTACGATACACTGAGATGGTATTGCAACTCAAAGAACCTGGGTGGCGAATTGGGAAAGCTATTGAACGAAAAAGCGAGCGAGGCCAAACAGGTGAGGGACACCGCTATTGTCACTTTAGAGAGTTTGGACACAAGTCGCACGACTATGGCTGATGTTGTCTGGTATGACTCAATTAATTGATATTACAATAGATTTTGCTTTTGTATGAATATTGAAAATATTGCCACTACCCTATAAAATCGTCTATTGCCCAAACGTATAACGTTGTTGATCCACAATATTTGCATACTGTATAATATGATATTTTACCAAGTTATTCCGAGGACAATATGTGGAGTATTATGGTAACATGAGTAAAATTAAATTCCTATATCATTGAAACAGTGTCATTGGTTTATACGCGACTAAAGTAGAGGCCATATTTGACAGCACTCAGGCGCGCGATGATGTCCGCAAAGTTACCACTTTTTACCGAGAAGTGGCCAATCTTACCGCAACTGAGAGCAAAACCACCGACAGTGGAAAGTGTGAGTTTATCGCCGCCCCCACAGACAAAGTCACGTATTTTTCGTTTTTATTGCCGATCTATAAAACAGTCTCGCGCTTCCATAAAGGTATTAAAACTCTACTTTATATTACTTATTGTTTGTAATAATTAATTGTATTAATAGTATCATGCTCTTTTATAATACATATAGACATACAATAATTTAAATCATAGACACTACAGTAGAACATCTCTCTACAAAATCTCATCATTTTTCAATGGGATCCCTTAAATAGACAACTGTTTTAAATTCGACTTTATATTCATATCCTGTATATACAGTATATAGAAAATGTACATATAAATTTATATAATGTTACATTATTAGATAACAAAACCTTTTGTATGAACCTCTTTATAATGTATTATAGATAGCATACTAGTAGGGTATGAATAGTATGAAGATTGTGTGCAATTTATTGTTTTCAGATTTATTAATTATATAATTTATACTATAGCTTATCCACTATGACCAAGTCCACATTTAAACAGATGACTTTTGATCACATTTATGTGGATTAAATAAAGACAAATAAACAGACAAATTAATAATAATTATTTTATTAAATTTTATAATTTTTTAAATATTTAATAAAATTAATATTATTCCTGAAACTCAAATTGCAATTTATTTAACATTATTTTAGTAATTGTAATAATTTATTACAAATAATTAATTTGAAAATTAATATTTGTTTAATTTATATTTTGCATTATTTTTTAAAGAATTTGTAAATTAATTGAATTAATTTGTATGGGAATTGTATAGACGAGTTAGATCTGTGTTGGAGATATTCAGTGTTTTACTCTACAGTATAAAGTGAACAGAAAGTTGTCTCTTAAGACTTAACTCTCATATACTGTGTGTTTGTCTCAAAGCTTGTGATCAATGCCTCGATTTGTGTTTCCATTCGCTATAATATATGACAACTTATTTCAAATGACTTTCACTCAACACTTCGTCTCATAAATTAAATTATTTGTGAAAATTGATTTGAATATTTGGACACTTTTTGGCAATAGTGGCCAACATTTGAATATCACTTCTCTTCGCATTCAGTAATCTCTGAACAAATCCATCGCTAAGATTGATGTCCACAACACTAACGAAGACAATCCTCTGGAATTGTTTGGACACACATTCGCATTGAAACCGATCTTCGAGTGAGAGATAAGACAATAATAGTTGACACAAATCATCACCGAATCTATCCATTGAGTTCTTCGCGTAAATCTTTGGGTAAAATGTTTAATACAAAAACATAAAATTATTGTTAATAAAACTCAATAATCAGTCAATTGACTGTCAAATACCTGTTGAATGTTGTCTTCATTGCCGTCATCTGTGGTCTCGAGTGATGTCATCAAGTGTTTCATCTGTTGTGTCATATTTTGGGATCAAATGATAGTATGAATGGTTTGATTCTTTGCCTCTTATATCACATAAACTATAAAAATATTTTATAAATAAATGTCATAAAAGTTTTTCTCTCTTATTTTAGGACTAATACCTGTTAACTGAAATGCGATGCAATGATGTAACCAAACGTAAGCATTGCGTCAGAAATGCGAAATATTTTTAAACATATTCACTGAAAAAGGGGTTCAAAATGTGTTTTAAGCGCATAAGCGGTTGAGAGAGAGAGATAAGACAATAATAGTTGACACAAATCATCACCGAATCTATCCATTGAGTTCTTCGCGTAAATCTTTGGGTAAAATGTTTAATACAAAAACATAAAATTATTGTTAATAAAACTCAATAATCTGAGAGAGAGAGAGTCTGAGGTCCAGTGTTTTACTCTACAGTTTAAAGAGTACAGAAAGTTGTGTCTCAGAAAGAATGGCGGTAATATTGAACACACTTCACGCCAGAGCGGCGACCAGGATCAGTTTGCGCACGTTTCGGCTATCGGGCCCATACAAAGTCACCCGGGTAAGTGTCCTCCACATTATCATCAACCCATTTGGTCAATATTTGACTCATTTTTACCCCGATTCTCAGCCAAACACGTTAAGGTCGTTGAATACCAACACCACTGCCACCGGTTCATCACATTCATCATCTAGATGGTGGCAAATTGTAATTATCAATTCATTATTAACCCTGGTCACAGTTTTATTGGTCACCCCCATAAGTGTACAACACATGGGGTTATAGTGTAATGATTAGCGCTTCCCCTCCGCGAGAGAGACTGACCGCTAGTGTTGTTATTGTTTTGCAAAGACAGTGACATTGATTTGCGATCGTCTAGTGTTTACACCCGATATATAGATAGTGTACATTCACTATAGTGTACACCCGGTATCTCGAGTACACAGTCTACTCCATGTAAAGTATAGCGCACACCCTGTTGCCGGAGCCTTAATTGTCGGGTTTTAATTGTTTTTCAAACATAATTAGTGACCAAAAACTTCTCATTACTAGTGTTTCAAAACTAATTTTTTGCCGTATTTTNCTTCTCATTACTAGTGTTTCAAAACTAATTTTTTGCCGTATTTTTCTCTCTCCTTTTCCGACCGGAATACCCATACATTGTGGACACAACACAACACAATACAGTTATATACGACGGGAGCGGTGGCCGTCGTGGGCGCTATCGGCCTGTACTGCGCTCTCAACCAGTCGGTGAAGGCGTCGGGCCTGGAGTTGCATCCGCCCGCCTATCCCTGGAGTCACAACGGCTTTATCAAAGGCTTTGATCATCAGAGGTACTGTCCAGCAACTCCCCCCTCCCCTCCCACGGGATAACCCCTTGCGTGGCGGTGGAGGTGTGTTTGCGGTCGTATTGGTGGACATGTAATCGCGAGTTTGCCCAGTATTCTGGGTGTTAACTACACTGATGTTGATGTTTGTGGTTTACCACTGGCTATAGTTGGCTATAGAGGGTAGGGTTAGCCCTCCGGACCCGGCGTTGTACCGCACTTAACCCCGCCGCCCTTGACCTCTGTGTTCACCGCCAAAAGCCTACGGANCTACACTGATGTTGATGTTTGTGGTTTACCACTGGCTATAGTTGGCTATAGAGGGTAGGGTTAGCCCTCCGGACCCGGCGTTGTACCGCACTTAACCCCGCCGCCCTTGACCTCTGTGTTCACCGCCAAAAGCCTACGGATCAAACTCACCGCCAGTTTTCATTAACTATTAATTTATTAACTAATGTTAACTATTGTTGAATTTAATTACAAACAGTATTCGCCGGGGGTATCAGGTGTACAGACAGGTATGCGCCGCCTGTCATGGCATGAAGTACGTGTCCTATCGGGAACTGGTGGGTGTGTCCCATACGGAGGCCGAGGCCAAGCAGGAGGCCTCAGAGGTGTGTATAGCACCCGGTGCTGGTGGTTGTGGTGGCGGTGGTGGTGGTAATGATGAGCACCACTACCCCCTCCACCACATCTAACATGTATTGATGTACTAATGTATGTATGTTTTAACACAGAGCCAAGTGCTGGACGGCCCGGACGACACCGGGAAGATGTTTCTACGGGCGGGCAAACTGTTCGACCGCTTCCCGTCGCCCCATCCCAACGAAGAGGCCGCCCGCGCGGCCAACAACGGCGCCCTTCCGCCCGATCTCAGCGTTATTGTGCTCGCACGAGACGGCGGCGAGGTATGTAACTTCTCCATCACCCCCTTCCACACACCTCCCCCAACACTCATGGATGCAGTGAATGTATGTCTCACTCTCAGATCTCTCGTACGGGTCCTATCAGTAGACCCCCTACGGGTGTACTACTAGTATACCCTCGACTCCCCCCGAAATCGCCCCTTATTTTTACTATTACTTAATTGTTTGTCATATTATTAATTAAATTTTGTTTCTAAACGCCCGGTGCCGACGACGACAACTACGATCACCGACTACTCCCGATATACTACTAATAACTACTCTAATAGGACTACATATTCTCGCTGTTGACCGGCTATATGGAGGCGCCGGCGGGTGTGGTGTTGGCCGACGGCATGCACTTTAACCCGTACTTTGTGAGCGGTTCGGGAGCCATAGGTATGGCACAGGCGTTGTTCAGCGATATGATTGAGTACTCAGACGGGACGCCCGCCACTCAGAGCCAGTTGGCCAAAGATGTGGTCACTTTCCTGTCGTGGGCCGCGCAGCCCGAGTTCGACACTCGCAAAAAGGCCGCCATCGATGTGAGTAATGTACCACACGATGGGTGGGTGTGAAGGGAATGACTGATTGCCCCGTCTGTTGTCCTGAACACCTGAACCTGTATTGGCCGGCCGTGGTATGCATTTGTGATAATGTGTTGTGTTTAGTGGTTTTGTGTTGTTATTGTTTTAGTGGTTTTTAATGAGTTTTGTTTAGACCCTTACCCTTATACCAACCCAAAAGGGTTACTCCAGTAGTGTAAGTGTGAGTGCCTGACCCCTGCCCTCTCTTATAAAGGGGTTGTTTCTAATGCCTATGATTAGTGTTTTTAATATTTACAGTGCTTTTAGTAGTGTTAGTGTTTGTAAAGTTTTTAATTTGTTTTTTAAACTAATAACTAATTATTATAACTAATGTTAACTATAATTATACGACAGGTGCTGCTAATAATGATACCAATGTTAGCACTGTTGACGTTCTGGAATCGGCACTTGTGGTCGAATATCAAAACGCGTCAAATACTGCTCAGAGAGACACCGAAATCGCCGAAGAAGTCTTAATCGCCGCCACAATAGTTAGATATTAATTGCATTGTAATTGAAAATAATATTAATTATTAATAATAAGTTAATTAGTTTTTGATTTTAATTATTTAATTAATTGATGATTTAAAATGACAGCAAAAATATCAGTTTTTTCTATGCATATGTTTAAAATACACGTTAAAATGATTTATTAAATGACGTTTAAATCAGTAGTTATTTAAAGTGAATATGAATTTTAATTAATTTTTTTGGTTTGATTTTAATTGAAATTGTTTTGTGATTTTTAGCCAAAAAAATAGTTAATAAATTTATTTGTGAAATACAGTCAAAGCTTTTGTTTATTAACTATAAAAACGTTTTCTTTCTAATGTAAGGACTAATACCTGTTCACTGATAAGTTATCAGTGATAACATGTTATGTAACCAAACGTTTGCCCTCATTATTATAGATTGGCTCCGGAGAGGGAGATCTGTCCCAAGGATTGGCACGTATTCCGAGAGAACCGCAAAATAATTGNGGCTCGTCCTCTCCGGGCGTCGGTTGGCCAGTGTTTCGGCCAAACTTTCCCTCTTTGACGGATCCCTTGCCTCTGATTGTAATGTTAGCGCCGGTAATAGTTTTATTTCAATGATTTGTTTTGTATATAACAACGATTTAATTGCGATTTAGAGTAATAAACAACTGAACCAACGATTAGTCGCCGACTTTAGATTCAATGAGTGGTTACAAGAGAGCGATCGACGACAACGACAACAGTAACGGGGCTTTCAATACACACGCATTGACTCGTCAACGGAGGCGAAAGAGTCGATGGGATGAACACAATGTGCCCGAAGAACAGCAACCGATTCGCATCATTCAGATGGAGATCCAAGCGATTAGCCGTCAATTATTTTGCGGTTCTCTCGGAATACGTGCCAATCCTTGGGACAGATCTCCCTCTCCGGAGCCAATCTATAATAATGAGGGCAAACGTCTCAATACAAGAGAGTTTAGAACCCGAACGAAATTAGTAGACAAAAGACATGAATGCATTCAAACTATGCTTTCACTTAATCCCGGATACAAACCGCCCGCAGATTACACGCCTCCGCAGCTGAGGGTCAGCCAAAAGGTTGTGATCCCTCGCGACGAGTATCCGGACATCAATTTCGTGGGTCTACTGATCGGTCCGCGAGGAAACACATTGAAAGCCATGCAAACTATTACCGGCGCTAACATTACAATCAGAGGCAAGGGATCCGTCAAAGAGGGAAAGTTTGGCCGAAACACTGGCCAACCGACGCCCGGAGAGGACGAGCCGTTGCACGCAGTCATCACTGGTTTGACTGACGACTTGGTGGTTAAGGCCGTACACAAAGTCAACGAAATGATCCGTCAGTGCGTCGAAGCGCCCGACACTTTGCGAAGAATGCAATTACAAGAGTTGGCGCTATTGAACGGCACTCTCCGGGAGGGCGACGGCCGGCGCGGTTGCGCTAATTGTGGCTCAACGGCGCGCCGGCGGTGGCGGCACTGCCCGCACAGGCCTAACAACGTTGTCGCCGCCAACTGGAGTGGTGTCGCACACATCGCCGCCGATTGTAATGAGAAGGTTATTTCTAGAGATGCCGGCAATGAGTCCAACATTGATGAACAATACGTGTCATTTATGGCTGAGTTGGTCGAAGAATCTCTTCCTCTGAAGAGCACCACTACGTCGTCACATATAAGTTAGATATCATTAAGGTTCATTACGGGAGGGAAGATATATATTTTCCCTCATTTTTCCTCCCAAAAAATGGGAAAATCCCGGAAGATAAAAATGGCATGGGAACTTACTTTTTCAAGGGAAAATATCTTTTTAAAAACTTGAAAAATTGCCACAATTTTCCAAAAATTTTCATAAAAATTTTGTATTTTTTAAAAATCAAATCGCGTATTATTTAATTGTTTGTTGTGAGGCACGAACACTAGTACAGGCATTGGCACTCATACAACATATCATTGCCATTGAATACCATTGAACCACTTTTTTGGGAAAATATAACTTTTTAATTAAATGATATTAAATTCATTAATAGGTTTTAACCATTTATTTGATTATACGATGCTTAAACATGTTCAGGGCTATGTTTTAAGCTAATAAAAGTTATACATATATCTCGATTTATCGTTAATTTACCACAATTTATGTCTTATTTTCCCATTTTTGAGGAAGATAAGGGAAGTAAGGAAGATTCCTTATTTTCCGGGAAGATATAAGATATGGGAGGGAAACGATGAACCTTAGATATCATACAACAAATTGGAAAAAGTTATTAAAATATAAATTATACAAAAATATTTAAGTACAGTTTATTGAATGACAACATTGGCTACAATTAGGACTACAGTATATGACCATTTGGGTGAAGTAGGAGTTGTGTGAACTGGCCATTTGTATGAACCAAACCCTAAAACCAAAACCCGCACTGCATAGACATAATGTTAAAAAAGGACCAGCTGTGTGAACGCCAACTGTGTGAATGGATCATTTGTGTGAACAATTTAGAGCTATTATTATATAACATTCAATGCATTTTAGGATCAGTTGTGTGAACCATATACTTTTTCCATTTGAATGACAACTCATTTAATGAACAATTGAATAAAATGCTAATACAATTGTTTAAAACTTCATTTAAATCACTAAAACAACAGAAAATAACAGACAATTTCTCATATAACGATTAAAATATGTAACTTTGAATATTAATGGAAAATATAAGTTTTAAATCATATTTTAACCATATTTTTAACTGGATCACTTGTATGAATGGACCATTTGTGTGAACCAAATGCTAAAACCCAATCACTTCACCCAAATGGTCATTTACAGTATATCATAAGAATAATAAAAATAAAGTTAAATCAAATACATTATAAGTAGAAATATAGATATTAATCGAGATTTGAAATAATAGTAATTTAAATGTAAGAAATGAAAAATAATTATTTAAACATTGATTGCATTTTTATTTTGAATAAAACTTTTTCATATTGTGTATATAATATAATATATAAATTATATTGATTTCAATTGTCTTGAGTTTAGGACTCAAAGACAACAGGTCTTTGTGGGCGTGATCTATGAGACCACTATTGATATCGTTTATAGTGTAGTGAATGACAAGCGTTTGCAGCGCCGGTAGTCTTGAGATGTGATCCAAACACTTGACGTTAAAATATCGGCAATTAATAAACAGGTATTGAAGTCGTGGCCAAAGTTCGTGACAATTGCCAAACAATCGGTAATTAATTTGCGGGCAATTTATTGATAAATGCGTTAAACTCTGTCCGGGAATTAATAGATCCAGCGATTGATATGATCCACCAATAGTCTTAAGCCAATCATCACCAAAACGGACCGTTATTTTCAGTTGTTTTAATTGCCGAAACAATTGCAACGATTCCAATGTCTGGCCAATGAGTTCTGTTGTCTGAGAGACCAACTCGAGAGACAATCGTTTCAATTGATAGCAATTCACTCCAATTGTCGGCAAAAAGTCATTCAAAATTTGCCCAAAAGTACTTAATTCAAGCGTAATTGTGGTAATCGTGACAATTGTTGGATCAATTGGGCGATAGTGTCCTGACTCTGACAATGGATTGATTTTATGGCCAGACTTTGCAACGACTGATTGTTTACCACAAATGTGGACAACAATATAATATTATCTTCTCTTAAATCGAAATTATATTCAAATCTCAATAAATTCTTTGCCATTATTTCTCCGGAAGAGTTGTTAAAGACATCACTTATGGAAGTGACCGACAAATGAGACAAACGATTACAATGAATGAGTGAGTGTTTCTCCGAAACTCTACCGATTCGAGTGATAATTGAATCAAAAGTGGTTAACCATTGGTAATCATTTGATCGCAAATAATAATAAATTTCCCTCAAATGTCGGCAATTGTCTCGAAATGTGTTCAACACTTCGGGAATGTGTCCATCAGATGATTTTATTCCTCGACATTCAATAATCGCAATATTTGGACACTTTATGGCAATTGTCATCAAGTATTTCGTTTGAGTGATTGTTGGGCTAAGTATTCTTCTAATGAATTCATCGGTTATATCAATTGCGACCACACTCTCGAAGACGGTCCTCTGGAACTGTTTGGACACACATTCGCATTGCAAACGATCTTCGAGTGAGAGATAGGATAATATGAGTCCAAACAAGTCATCACCGAATCTGTCCATTGAGTTCTTCGCGTATAGTTTTTGCTAAAATGTAAAACAAAAACAATTAAAACTCAACAAACAGTGAGTTGTTTATGAAATACCTGTTGTGTGTAATTGTCTTCATTGCCGTCATCTGTGGTCTCGAATGAAGCCATTTTGTGGTCCATATTTTGGGATCAAATAAAGTGAATGTATGAATGGTTTGAGTCGTTGCTTATTAAATCACATCAATTATAAAGATATTTTATATATAAATAAATGTCACAAAAGTTTTTGCATCTAATT